CCCTTTTAGTTATTACATCTTATAGTTACAATTTGCATATTCCCATCATACTTATTTACACCCAGGTATTGCAACACAATTAATTGACAAACTTAGAGGAAGTTAATTACTATTGGTGAGGAAGTTAAATTATTAAGGAATGGAATAAGGAATTGGGACCTCTAGTGTGAAATATCTCTTGCTATGAGGACAATACACACTACCGTTATCCAGTCCCTTCAAAATAAACATAAACTCCACACGGAGAAAGATAACCCAGGCAACGATGCTGGTGGCCTGGACCATCCCTTTGGAATCACCGCAGCTAAGTGGTCTGACGCTGGGTCTACCTAGGGGGAGGATCATACAGCATTTGCTGATGGGCTGGAGGTGGGGAGTCTGCGAAGAAGAAGGACCATGACAAAGTGATGTGAAGCTCTTTGCTTTAGTACCTAAATAAAGAGTCACCATTTTCTCAACAGGAAGACTATAGGCAGGTGCAGGCTTATTCTTTATTTTGAAGCAAGGGCTACTGAATACACAGAGATGGACATCGCCGGGCCTCCCCTCCCGCCTTCAGCGACCCACCAAAACGACCACTCACGGATGGGGCGCTGCTGACGTCGGTATTGGCAGTCACGGCCCAAGAGCCCGCAGACCCTAAAGACGCAGCTTCACCCTTCGGCTCCAGCTCCGCGGAGCCAGCGCGCCGCGCGCACGCGCCGTCCACTGTCGCGAAGGACCCGCCGCCCGCCGCCACTGCACTGGTTTCTGACGCCAGCTTCAGCAGGCGCGGGGGTGGGCGGGGTTAAGCGAGCGCGAGGAGTGCGCGTGCGCACGGCCGGCGTTCTGCGCCTGCGTCTTCCTCCCGCTTCCTGCAGGCCCGGGTTTGGGAGGCGGGGCATCCGGGCCCCTCCGCGGCGGCTTCAGCCTGCAGAGCTCAGCTGATCAGCCCCTGCCACACCGGGAGGTGAGGCGGTCCCGCGCTGTCCAGGCGTGCAGGGTGACTTGCATCGCGAACCCTGTGCCTCGGGAGCCTCAGCCTCGTGGGGTTAGCAGCTCGAGGACCCCTACGACGGGAGGCTGACGTCCCGGGGCGGCCCGCTATCCCGTCTCGCGTTTTCCCTAGGCCCCAAGCCGTCGCGGTCCTGGGTGCACCCAGACACCGGGCGCCCCTCGCCTGTGGGAAGCCTGGGGTCATTGTCCTGGGCCCTGGTAGCCAGGGACCGGTAAGGGTGTCTGTACACTCCGCAGCAGACGGAGAGCACTCGCCAAGATGAGTGAGCTTGGGGCTTAGGGGGCTCTCACGGCAGAGTGAGTTGCCGGGCATAATGAATGGCCTTTTGCAGTATTTATATTTTCCTGGCACTCCATCCTTATCGCCAGTTTAATTTTGTTTCTATCTCTGCCTTCTCAAAATTGTTTCTCTCAGGTTGTGTGTCAAAGAAGTTTACTGAACAAATGAGAAGTAATGAGAAGTGAAACCATATTTTCTTTGCCCACCTTAATGGTTCCATTTATGAAACTTGACACTTAATATCTAAAACATCCTTACATGTGGGGACTGGAGAGATGGCTCGGTGGTTGAGAACACTTGTTGCTTTTTAAAAGAACCCGATTCGGTTTCCAGCGCCCACTTGGTGCCTCAGAACCGTCTGTAACTCCAGTTCCAGGGCATCTAATTCCCTGCTTTGATCTCTGTGGGCAGCAGGCTCACATATGATCAACATGCACTCATGTAGGCAGAACACTCTTATACATGAATAAACTCCTTACATATATTTCTTTTTTTAAATTTAACTAATCTGTTCATTTAAGGTGTGAACTAAGAGCTTCAATAATGGAGTTAGCTCACAGCTTATTGCTAAATGAAGAAGCATTGGCTCAAATCACTGAAGCAAAGAGACCAGTATTTATTTTTGAATGGTTAAGATTTCTTGATAAAGTTCTAGTCGCTGCCAACAAGGTAGGTATTCCTCCGCCCACCCCATGAGATTGGTATAAAGAAAATTTAGAACCTTGTATTTTAAAAATGTTATGAGTCATTCACCTCAGGAATTTCTAGTTTATCTTTCTCTTAGTCAGCAACAAAACCCAAACCCTGTCTAAACCCTGCTTGCTGCATTCTTCCTATCTCAGCTCAGTGTGACTGGTGTCGCTCATATTCATCTGTGCCTGGAAATGGTCTCTGTGATGTCTGTAATCCCAGTTTCTTCATGTTCTCCCTGGGGTCTTAAGAGATTTTTACTGCTTCTTCCACTTCCTGCATAGCTTCTTGGATGCAAGTTTGTTCTGTGCGTGTTTTGTTTATTTTTTAAATGATGCCTTCCTCAAATGAGAGCTTTGTTCATATTTAAGACCAAGTTATAGAAGGTGTTCTTGAAAAGGTGAATTTTGTTAAGTCAATGTCAGAATAGGCTAGTTCTGAGATTACTATCTTAGTTTGTTCCTCTAGAATGATTGTTCCCTTGAGGATAATTTCCTACTCTAGTGTCTGACGGGGAGTGATTCATTGTCTAGGGTCGAGGGATTGGGGATAGGGAGCCTGAAGGCTTCATACTCAGTATGTAAACATTCACTTAATTCCTATTTTAGTAAAGTGACCTCAGTCCACAGTTGTCCCGTCCCACTTTCGGGATACAAGCCTCTAGCCTTATTCTAGAATGGAGGAGAGGAGCATAGAAGATTTTGTTTGTTTTTTGGCTTTGATTTTACTTTGTGTGACAGGCTTTTATTAGTTATTCCTAGCTGGCCTGGGACTCATTATGTATCACAGACTGGCTTCAAATATGCAGCTGTCTTCCTTCATTAGTGCCTGAATGCTGAAGTACTGGGCATGATGGATGCACTCCCTTATGCCCTCAGACTGTCAGCCAGTTATTCCTTTTATTTCTAACCTCAGAAGTCTTCCAAGACTTAAAAACAAAAAACAAAACAAACAAAAATAACCCGTTAACTATTGGAGTACTTTGCGCCTTAATTTCTTCAAGTTTTCTCTGTTGAGAGTTTTACGCTCCCAGATTTTTCTTGAGTTCTTTTCCTATTGTCATGGCCATTGTGGACTTGTGCTTTGATGTTGTTATTCCTGCCTATTATTATCACATTAATTGCTAGAAAGATAGTAAATGCATGGGTTCTCTTGTATTTTTATTTTGTTTTGTTTTGTTTTGGTTTTGGTTTTTCGAGACAGGGTTTCTCTGTGGCTTTGGAGGCTGTCCTGGAAGTAGCTCTTGTAGACCAGGCTGGTCTCGAACTCACAGAGATCCGCCTGCCTCTGCCTCCCGAGTGCTGGGATTAAAGGCGTGGGCCACCACCGCCCGACTTTCTCTTGTATAATTTAACTAGAAATTTTATTTGTCTGTTAAATCTTCTGTAACTGGGCATTTGTTATTTCCTCCCACTGAAAAGTCCTTTTCAAATTATCACATAACTCAAATTGCCCAAACAATTGTCAGGACTTGTTTTATTTGGTCCCTTCCCATCTTTTCACATAGCCGAACCTCCACTTTAAATACTTAACACTCATGTTGTTTTGTTGTGATAGAGTCGTCAGTCTTACCCTTTAGTGATAGCTAATCTTGTGACTTGTACCACCATTCAGAAATCCAACTTTAGAAGACGTTTCATGGGCTGCTATGTAGCTCATTTGGTAGAGCACTTGCCTCTAACATGCACAAAGCCCTGGGTTTTAATTCCCAGAACCGCATAAAACAATTTTATGTGATGGCCCACAGCAATAATCCCAGCCCCTGGAAGTGGAAGCAGGAGGTTAGAAGTTCACAGTTTTCCTCAGCTACATAGTAAATTCAAGGCCAGCATGGAATGTATGATTCATATTCTTCCTCTCTCTCTCTCTCACCCCTTCGTCTCCCTTCTCTCCCCCCACGTACACACACACACACACACTTAGCACTATCAACATCTAAACCAAAGTTTTGATTTCCCTTTTCAAGCCTATCCTTACCCAAGCCCTTAAAGTCCTTCTTCACCTCTTTCTTAAGCCTCATATGTTGATTAGCAAATATTAATGGAATCACCACAAGCATATCTAGAATCCGTTGTTGAACTGGAACTGTCTTGCACAGTAATCACTTTTGTTGAAATCAAACTTTTGGACAATAAAGGGGAATGAAGATTTAATCTAGGAAAAAGTGAATCATTTCTTACTGAAGTTTCTATTTTCATAAAAGTTTTCATGTGTGAGTTATGCTTAATGAATACAGGTTTTAATTACTAGAGCATCATACTGTTAAGTATTTTTTTATTTGAAAGTAATAAGAGTACAAGAAAAAACAATGTTCTTTTTTTTAATAACAGACAGATGTAAAGGAAAAACAGAAAAAACTTGTTGAGCAATTAACTGGATTAATAAGCAGCTCACCTGGACCACCCACTCGAAAATTGTTAGCTAAAAACCTTGCAGCCCTGTACAGCATTGGTGATACTTACACAGTTTTTCAAACACTAGATAAGTGTAACGACATCATCAGAAGTAAGGATGACACTGCAGCCTACTTACCAACAAAACTGTAAGTACCCTTACAGGAACCCTTGCATTCTCTTTGGCTTTTCAAAGTGATTTAAAATATCATAAAGACCCCAGATGGGTGGACCCTTCGGCTTAGTACTGACAGGAAGTTCTAACTCTATCTGAGGAGGGGGCTGGGCTTCCTCATGTCCATCACTCATGGGACTTTGGATACAGCTGGGAAAATTCGTATGGTATCAGCAGTGGTGTCTGAATGGGAAGAAAAGAGTGGGGGAAATGAGGCAGGAATGGGTAAGATTAGTCTGCTGGCCACGTCCAGGCAGTTAAAGAATGAAATGATTTTGGAATCCAGACCTGCCTCTCACTGATCTGCTTTCACACAGAGGGGCAAAGTTGAGTAGCTGAGGTAGAGACAATTTTGCTTACAAGTTTTCTGGTGACTAGATTAAGTTGATCCTGAAATGTTATAAAAAATACAAAATAATTTTTGAAAATTGGAAACATATAATGAATTGTATTTAAAATGTGTGTGTGTGTGTGTGTGTGTGTGTGTGTGTGTGTGTGTGTGTGTCCTGTGCATGCGTGCCCACTCCATTGTATGTATGGAGGTCAGAGGACTACTTGTGGGAATTAGTTCTCTGTACCTTATGGGTCCTGGAAATAGAACTCAGGTCATCAGGCTTGATGGAAACTGCCTCTACCCACTGAGCCATCTTGCCAGCCCAGAAATTATGTTACTAAGCAGTGAGACCATTTTTGCAGGGCAGCAGTGGCTTGTGTTGGAGCATTTTATGAGAAGATGGGAAGGATGTTGGGCAGTGCATTTCCAGAAACAGTGAACAATTTGTTGAAATCTCTGAAAAGTGCAGAGGTAAGTTTTGCAGCCAGTGTTTAATGCCTTGCTCAGGGCATGTGTTATTAAAGATGTTCTGTTCTGTTACTATGATCCTCATGGTACTTATCAGGAAAGTGATTTCATATTATCACTTCTCCTTCCTTCTAATGTCTGTTTTCTTTCTGTTTGGAGTGGGATGCCCTTGTCTTTTGAATGACTAAGTTTACCTGTTATTTTTCACTTAACTCTTTTTTTCAATTAACATTTTAGTTTTTGTGCCACTGATAATGTATCAGTTCCTTATGTGCTACACTGTGCAGCGTAGAACAATAGATGCTTCTAGCTCACAGTTCTGGCACCTAAAGGATCACAGGGTCATACTTCCTCCTCAGGCTGTAGGGGAAAACTGTAACTTCTCTCCTAGATTTAATGGTTGTCAGAAACTCTGGCCTTTCCCAGCTGTGGACCACCTGCTCCCATAAGACATCATCTTTATTCGATCCCATCTGCAGTTATCTTGTTTGCAGTCATAGTCACAAGTAAAAGGGCTTAAGAATTTCATTTATTTCTGAAGGGGACAGAGTTCAAAACTGATGGTGATATCAAGTGAAATTGTTCTGTTTTGTTGTGTCACTTTGGCTATAGATCCCTTGTCAACCTCAGATAAATGGAATGTAGACTAAGCTCAATACTCGGTATAATTTTTTATGTCTATACCTGGGACTAAATTCAGGGCATAGCACACACTGGGCAAGTGCTCTGTCTCTGAGCAGTGTTCCCAGCTGCAGTCTCATTTTCCTGTCCAGGAGAACTAACTTCTCAGATGATATCAATACTGATTCTTACATTACAGATACTTTGTAGCATTCTTAATCCACTGCTTTTCCTTACTCTCACAATTTGGAGATAAGATAGTCAGGCCCAGAGAGTTGTTCTTATTAAATACGGACTTTATTTGACAATGTGGTTTTAAAGTTTGCCTCACATTCATGTGCAGTCTCAAGGGCGAAGTGAGATCTTAATGAGTCTGCAGAAGGTGCTGACTGGATTGGGGGGTGCAGCAGCTTCCTGTCACCGTGACATTTACAAGAATGCTCGATCCCTCCTAACTGACAGGTCGATGGCTGTCCGATGCGCAGTGGCCAAGGTTAGTACCCAGCCAGTTTGTAATGTCCCTTATGATGCTTGCTCTTAAACAGTTTTTTTCTTTCTTTTTTTTCTTCCTTTTTTCACATTGAAAGTTTTATTGATGGTGAGATAAGAAAATCAGGGAAGGAAAGAGAAAAGATGTAAAGAGAGAAAGGGGAGTGTGTGGTATGTACATTTGTGTGGCTGTGTTACTTCTTTCATGAGAGTACAGTTACTTTGAGATTTATGTATGTCCATGTTTCAGTAGTTGACACCTTTCTATTATTTAGTACTGTTTCACTGTATGGATGTTCTCCTTTTTTTGTTCCTTTACCTCGATTTGGCTATTACCAGAAAAGCTTTTGTGAACATCTGTGTGCAGTTTTGTTTTGTGTTTTTGCAGACCTGCATTTTTATTTAAGTCACTGTTTTATTTGGAATGGCTAAGATTTATGTTTAACTTTTTAAGTAACTGCCTGTTTCCTCAAGTATTTATATAGGTTTAAACTTCTGCCTTTCTGCTTTTAATATATCTCTAGTTCTTCACATCTTCACTGTTATTTGCTAATTACAGTTTTTGTTTTAGTCATTCTAATAGATGTGATTGAGTATCTAATGGTCTTAACCTGCATTTCTCTATTGGTGAATGTTAAGCATATTTTCAGGTGTTTATCAATATTTTCTATTAAGAAACATGTATTTTGCCCGGCGTTGGTGGCGCATGCTTTTAATCCCAGCACTCAGGAGGCAGAGGCAGGCGGATCTCTTGTAAGTTCGAGGCCAGCCTGGTCTACAGAGCGAGTTCCAGAATAGGCTCCAAAGCTACACAGAGAAACCCTGTCTCGAAAAACCAAAAGAAAAAAGAAATAGGGAGATATTTTTATAGCCTTTGCTACAGTCCTGTAGTAGTAATACCTTGCAAAATATAGGATAGTAGCTCTTTGGACATAATCCACTGGTCTTTAGAGTCCCAGTTTTAGATGTATTTACTTTTTTAGCATCTATGGAAATGATCATAAGAATTTTCTTTTTTAGTTTGCTAATATAGATCACATTGATTAGTTTTAGAATTTTAGCTAATTGTATTTCTAGGATAAACTTTACTTGGTTATGATATATTACCCCTTTCATTTGTTTCATTGTAACTTGAGACAGTGTCTCACTGTATAATTCTACCCTGGCCTTGAACTTGAAATCTTCATGCCTAAGCCTCCCCAGTATTAGGAGTGTTATCCTTTTTGGATATTGTTGAATTCGAGTGGCGAAATGTTTGCATGGTGGTTTTGTATCTTTGTGTCTGAGGGATATTATTGTGCAGTTTTCTTTCTCTTTTTAAAAGCATTTATTTTTTTCATGAGTTTTTGCCTGTGTATGTACATCAAATGCATGCCTGGTACCTGTGGAGGAACAACAGTTTCCTGGAACTGGAGTTATTGGTAGTTGTTATCTGCCAATTGGGTGCTGGGAACTGAGCCTGTGTCCACTATAAGAATGTTAAGTCTGGCTGGGCATCGGTGGTGCACGCCTTTAATCCCAGCAGAGCCAAGTGGATCTCTGTGAGTTTGAGGCCAGCCTGGTTTACAGATCGAGTTCCAGGACAACCTCCAAAGCCATAAAGAAACCCTGTCTCAAAAAAAAACAAAACAAAACAAAAACAAAAACAAAAAAGCAAAA